AAGTGGGGGTCCACAGAGTAGTCTAGAAACCTGAATCTAGAGACAAGCTCGAGGGGAAAGTGTCCTTTCTCTGCCAGCTCTGGGAAAAGGGCTTGGTCTCCTGTCAACATCTGAGGATCCAGTTTTCCGGGGAGATCTCCACAGGTATTGGTGCCAGTCCTCCCCTGGGTCTAGGAGGTTCTCCTGGCAGGGACCCTGAGTCCAAAGGATGGGCTCTGCTCCCAATACTTTCTTGGCAGTCCTGAGGTCCTTCCTCATCTGCCTATTTTGTTCTCCTTTTATCTCTTGTAAGATAAAAGGTGATGTGGTCCCTACCCCAGGGGGGCGCCCCTAATATTAGACCAGGGCTATGTCCTGGATAAGGGTGTTGCATTCCACCCTAATCTCCTCAGATTGGCTGATCATATCATAGGGAGTGATGACATCATGACACAATTGTCAAACCAGGGAGAATGGTTTCAGCCAAGCTAACACAGATTTGGGGAGGTGGGGAGGAGCTGGGGCACAATTCAAGCCTTGACAAACTCTTAGCTTAGAAGTCAGAGACCTCTGAACAATTCTAGGGACCGAATTTTGATAGGGGATAATCAAGGTTTTATTTCCATTTACTCTAAATATGTATTCCTGTACGCGTTTCATTTTTGTGCATTTAGATGCATCCTTCGAATAAGGAGTCCATTGGATTCACTGGACTGACAGATTCGTGGGACACATAAGGGGTGGTATTGGAGGATGCAGATTTGGACCAGGGCTGTGATCAGGACCAGCAAACAAAAATGACTATCTCTGCGTTAAGGACAGTTTTGTGGTCAAGACCCAAATGTTTGGGTTAGGTCCCAGGTTAGAGTGGCTATTCGAAAGATGCTTATAAGGAAGAATCTGCACTTGAGTTGTTTCTAATTCTGGCTCAACCATCTGGTTACGAGGCTCTACTCCCTGGGCTGCAGTTCACCCCGATGGCACAAAGCCATGGCGCAGAAGCTCTCTCAAGCCCTCTGCCGTTTCACAATCCTTTGGTTCTTTACAATTGCTTAGTTCACCAGGCAAAGAAGGTACCAATCTGAAGGCAGATACATCCACTCATGTAGCCTGGAGTTAGTGTCCAGACCCTGTCCTTTCACGAAGACTTGCAGTGACACACCTGACCCATGAGCAGCCTGCAAGTTCCCCTAAGTAAGGGCATGGAGAGCATTTCCCCCTGAGAATGTACTGGCTCAGGTTGCATTCCTGCCAACGCCGCCACAGTTCCTATTTTCACATCCTGCCATGTGTAAGCAGATCATTCTCTTTCCAAAGAGCTCTCGTTGCTTGTCGCTTTGTTGTTAGGAACTGCGAGTCACTCTTCAGCACACGACGAAGACTTTGCTGCTCTTAAAATGAATACTCATCTTATTTGCTCAAATACAAAGTACATACCTTTATCATCCGCTTGACAGCGCCCACGCTTTCATCTGCTGAAACATCGAACGGTTCAAAAGATCCCTCAAAGGCTACAAAAATCCTCATGGTGCAGTGACCTTCACAAAATACTCCCTTTTCAAAGAGGCTGGCGGATAGATGGATGGATATACTCCAATTCCAGGACAAGAATGACCGGCAGCAACGGCTGTCACTCTCACCGCCAAAGAGGAGAGGAGAGGCTAGAAGGAGACCAGGCACAGTCCCTAGAGACACTGAGCAGCTATGCTGCAATCTACGATCAAAACCAGCAACCTTGACCGTGGTGGAGGCAAGTGTGAACAAGCTTCAAATATGTAAGCCAAGAATGCCACATGCATGACACTTTTGTAACGTGACCGCCAACGACGGTTTCAGGCTTGTATTCAGTCCAGAACAGCGGATCAAAGGACCCTTCCAAAGAGATACTTGATTGAGATGCATTGCAAGCAAACCCCAGCTGATCTCATTGAGTGCGGTAATCCTGAAAGTTCTCTGTAAATAACTGAGCCAAAGCATCTGGTTTCCGTAACAACTCTGTGTACTGGTTTCCCAGCGGTATTTATAACCCTGCCACGGGTTGCAGAACAATGCCCACTTGCACCAAGGAGATGAATGTGTTGGCAAATGACCCCGTGGCTTTCCCATCCCATCTCTGCACAACGGAATGTGCTGAGTAGCAACACGATAGAGTTGGTGCTTCTTTCAGTCCTTGCCGTTATGTGATTCGGAACAATTCACCATTGTTATCTCCTCCGGTCTGCCTTAGCGTTCTCGGAGAGTATTTCCAACCCTGCTCAGTAGGGATCAAAGCTATCCAGTGCCATGATTCAAGTTGACGAAAAAAAGTATTTTATTGGAACTTAATTCTAAGACCCTCTGAAATCTTCTCAGATAAGCCATGACTGGTTTAATACCACGACATCTGATGATGGCTTCATGTATGGAATCTTGTCTCCTTACCGAAAGCCCTGCTGCCCCGGGGCAGAGTCCTCGTCTTTAATTTGTTAAAAAAGTATACACTCACCACACACAGCCAAAAATTCCATGTAGCCATTGTAAGTGTCCAATTCCATGACATTAATTTTATCCATCACATTATACTACCATCACCACTGTTTCCAAAAGTTTTCATGTCTGAAAACAAAACAAAGTCTCCGTACTCTCGCAGCAACAACTCTCATTCCTGCCTACCCCCGGCCTCTAGCAACCACTGCCACACTTGTGTCTCTGTGTATTGTCTATCCTAGATACGTCACATCGGTGAGATCAGGCAATCTTGGTCCTTCCGTGTCCTGTTCATTTCATTCAGCCTAATGTTTTCAAAGTTCATCTGATCATAGCATGTGCCAGCCTGTCGTTTCTCCTTCAGACTGGGTACTGTCCAGGGTGTGACTAATATGTGGCAGCTTCAGAAAGTCCTGAGAAAATTCGCTATCTTTCTAATTCCCTTTTTTGCACATTTTTGAAAGCCCGTCATATCACGTTTTGTCTATCCATTCCTCTGTTGATGGGCACATGGGTTATTTCTACCTTTTGGCTCTTGTGACCAGCACCCCAAAGAACCTATCCTTGCTTTCAGGTCTCATGGGTGTATACAGAGTGATGTACACAGAGTGGTGTATACAGAGTGATGTACACACTCGGGTGATGGACTTTGTAGGACGCATGATACATTTTACTTTCTGAAGAACTGCACAACACTTGTCCACACATCTTTTGATGCTCAACAGGGCATAGCACAATGCAAGGCATATGACAGGTGCTCAGTAAATGTTAACCTGTGGATTCATTCTGTCCCTATTTCTAACCAATATAAATTTAGGAAAACAGAACATATAAAACGGGTAAAGGATTTGTGGGTGAAATTACCTCTTTTCTCTCATCTTCTTCCAAATGCCTGGTAACATAATGATATCTTCTTATACTGACTGCATTTTGGTGGACATATTATTCATCTAGGATGTTGTTGCCATGGCTTCCCCAGCATCTCCCAGCTCCTATGACTGTGAGGTGCACCTGCTTCTTCAAATCATCGCTCTCAGTTGATGGAAGCCGCCTCCCTAGAAGAAGTCAACCACTCCCCACTCCCCATGACCCGCTTCGAACGTGCTGCAAAAGACCAGCTCCTTCAGCTCTGCAAAGGACCCCT